CAGCCATTCCTCCGGCCCATCTGCTCCCCCAGATGCTCAGCCTGTCCCCTCTTCCCAGCTCGGCCCCACATGCAGTCCCTGTGTGGACGAGTGTGGGCCCCACCTCACACAGCCGCTGCAGCCCCACCACGCCATCTGCTTCCCACCCTCGCAGACGTTCTGAGAGTAACTTCTGACCCAGATTCCATGGACCACACCACCCCAGCACCCAGCTTGCTTGCCCCAGCCCAAGTCCTGTGATTTCCAGGGACAGGATGCTGACTGGAAAAGAGAGAGGGGTTTCCAGAGAGATAAGAATAAACACAGGAGCTGACTTCTCACAGCAGGAAATGCAAACTAGTTTGACAATTTAGTTCTGCCCTGAGGTTTACTTTGTTTGGGTTAGTTCCTCGCCTTTGGAAGCCAGTGTCTCAGAGAGAAGTTTAAAGCACTGCTAGCCTGTCCTTCTACAGTATTTCCACACCCCACCTCTTCTTTTTTCCATCAGAGACCCCGAACTCAAACAGGAATTAGAGGTCTACCCTGGTCCTGACCTTCCAGGTGTTCTAAGGGGCTTGCTGTATCGAGGCCCAAAATCAAGTACCTTCTCTTGGGCCTGAAGAGTGGGTTATAGCAACATTAACATGGAGAGAACCACCCCCCCTCAACCTTTCATTGAAGTCAGAATCCCTGAGGGAGAACTGGTCACCCAGCGTAGGAAGCGATACTTTCTGACCTGCTCCGCATCCCATTCTTCCTCCTTCCTCTGGGTCTGTCTGAAGGGTGTGAGGGAGAGGAGCCTTGGAACTGATGCTACACCATGCTCATCTGTGGTTGGAAGCACAGGAGGCTCCTCTCTCAAGCTTGATGCCCTGGGGGTAGTGGGTGGGCTGGGGGGCCACAGTGGGGCACTGTAAAGAGCACTTTCCCTGCCCTAGGATGCCTTTCTCTGGGCCCCGGGGAAAAGGGGGCACATTTTTGGCATTGCTCCTAATGAGGGAGGAAGGGAGGTGCTGTGCACCCATAGGCCAGGAGGGAAGTTGGCTTTATAATGAATATAGAAGAAAACATTTCACCCACGCTCAAGAGACACTATTGACATTCTGGACAGGACGGTTCCATCTCATACATTGCAGTATGTTTGCTATCCCTGGACCCTGCCTATCAAATGCCATAATTTTGATGTCCTTGAGACAACTGAAGTGCTCAGCAAGTTCTAAACATCCCCTGGGGCCCATGCCCTTCCCAGGTTCTTGCTGCCAGGATATTGGATTGCCATCCCTTCATCTATCTTCTGGGAAGGGACCATGACCAGACCAGAGTTCGTTTTTATTCTGTTATATTTGTGTTAAAATCAAATTCTGTTTACCGATCACTACCTTATCTGATCAATTGGCAATTCTTATTTTCATACCTGATGACTCTTCATTGTACGCTGACTTATTTCCCCATTTGGTTCATAGTCCCTCACATAAGTTTTTCTACCAAGGGGGGTCTTAAGCACCTCAGCCATGACTAACATATGAGGCATGGTCCCTGCACATGGACAGACAGCCTGTATCCTAGATGTGAAGGACCACAAGAGTGATGACAACAATTGCTATAGGATATCAGAGGAGAGTGTATAAAAGAAATCAAGAGTTTAAAGTGGGAACCTTGGCCCTATGTCCCTAGACATTCAGAAAGTTGTATTTATTGATGGATCTCCCCTTGCCCATGTGACTTTTTCCTTCCTAGGACCCCTAAGTATGGAACCTACATTTAGAGTATAAACCAGTGGCTGAGGCCAGATGGTTCCCAAGGTAGAGAGAGAACCTCAGTGTCAAAACTGTCACCATCTAGGGCGCCTGAGTGGCTCAGTTGGTTAAGCAACTGCCTTCAGCTCAGGTCATGATCCCGGGGTCCTGGGATCGAGTCCCACATTGGGCTCCCCGCTCAGCAGGGAGCCCACTTCTCCCTCTGACCCTCTCCCCTCTCATGCTGTTTCTCTGTCTCTCTCTCTTTCTCTCAAATAAATAAATAAAATCTTAAAAAAAAAAAAAAAACTGTCACCATCTATAGTGCATCCAGGGAATCTGAAGAGGAGAGATGAATTACAGCTGAGATTTGTATCTCCTTTGCTATTAATATTAATCATGGATTATCCACACAGGCCCCCTTTTTGCTCCTGGTCGCCTATCATTCTGCTCTCCCACTGATACACAATGAAGAGAAGTAATGCTCAGTCAAATTTGCTGCTTGTTGGCAAGGCTAATTTTGTCAGTTCAGAGAATGGGGCTATTAGTTAAATCAGGTTTTTGGATTTTCTTTATCATCACCTACTTTGTCCCCCACCTGCTCACCCTGGGGGGTAATCAAGAACTGCCTGTGAGCATCTTGATTTCTCCTTTATATCTTTCTAGTTCATTGATTCCAACAGCCCACACCTTTAATGTTCTTGCTTAGTTTTTACAAAATTAACTCTTTATAAAAATTGAATTGTAGCCCTTCATTTCTGATTTTAGATGTCCTCCCTTGTCTCTGAGAGCAGAGGCTCCTTCATATTTGCTATTATTTTGACTTTTCTTTTCCTAAGCAGAAATAGGAATTTATTGAATCATGTAGCCAAGTAATCACAGAAGCAAAGGAAGACCCGTTGGAACTAGGGCCTCAGGTGCTGGAAAGAGAAGCCCTGTGTCTCAAGCACTCTCTCCCCTTCGTCTCCTCCCTTATTCTGCCCCTTGCCCCTCAGCTCTGCCTCCAACTAGCCTGGCCCTTGCCCCAAACCAGGTCACCTGGCGCCACAGCCCTGCTTAGAAGTCCAATGCAAAGAGTGTTTTCCTCTCTCGATATCTCTCAGTCGATTATTTAGTAATTGTAATCATTTCCTGTAGAAAGAAAACCGCTCTGAGCTTAACCAAGCTATGTGTATTCTCTATCACTGACATTAATATGGAAAAGATTGCATGGGGCCTTTGAATTCCCCTAACAGGATGTAAGGTTGGAGGACATGGATGAGGTTAGAACAGAAGTGGTAGAACATCTGATTCACCGGGTCCCTTAGAAATCAAACATGTTATCAATGGTCCTATACCTAGAGAGAATTATTTGGACATATTTATGCCAATTACAGCAATTTATATTTTATGATTTATTATTCTGGATTTTTCCCCTGTCTCCCTGCTTCCTCTCACCTTGTCTCCCCAGTTACTGCTGAGTCAGTAATACCCAGAAAATATCTTCTCCTGCTCTAAAATGCGGAAACCAGTAGATTAATGTCTCCTTATTCTCAGAGGTGAAGAGTACTGAGTTACAAGCCTGCTTCGTCCCCATTTCTCTTTCATTACCAGTTTTTATACTGCGTGTTATCTCTTATCTGGTCTTGCTTGATAGTATCCCCTGTACGTGCTTGTGGCCTCTTTTAGAACAAGGGTGAGACTAGAGGTCATCTTGTCTGGGCAGCCTCTAACCAGGGACATGTCAGCATCATCTGAGAGCTTTCTAGAACAATCATGTCCAAGCAGATGACTCAGGCAGTGCCTACCACACAGCTTATCCATGAGAAGGCCACACTTTCATATATGGTGGCAGTAAAACCATGCTCCAAGGTGATGCTGGAGGAGAATGCCATGGATGGGGAGGTATATGGTAGCAGTGGTATCTGAGCATATAGAATAGAAGCTGGGACTGGCAGGAGAGAAAAAGGAGAGGGGGTCAGAAATTCATTTCTCTAGGTTTCCAGAGGACACTGACCAAGGCTTATACAGTAGCCCCAGATGATCCATAGCAGGGTACTCAGAACTAAGTAAACCCCCTGCTGGAGACACTCTCTAGCTTAATCCTTTTTGCCCATTAGGAATTTGGGTAATTCACATTTCTATTTTTTTTTTTTTTTAAGATTTATTTATTTATTTGAGAGAGAGAGAGCTGGGAGGGGAAGGGCAGAGAGAGACAGAAAATCCAAGCAGACTCCCCACTGAGTGTGGAGCCTAATGCAGGGCTGGATCTCACAACCCTGAGATCATGACCTGAGCCAAAATCAAGAGTTGGGTGCTTAACCGACTGAGCCACCCAGGCGTTCCCAGATTCCTACTTATAATTGGAGCACAGCTGAAATCAGGATGCACGTGACCCCAGAGATGTGTAGGTTTCAGAAGGATATTCAGAAACGATCTCTAGACCCTTTGCTCTGTCTTTCTTCCCTGTCTTTGCACTGCACCTGGTTCTCATGCTGCATGCGCAGGCCCGAAGGACAGCGCCCGCAGGCGTGCTGACGGCCCTCACACACTCCGGGCGCAGCGCTGTGATCTCACTCGGTGAGGCCAGCAGAATGGTCAGTGCCGAGAAAGAAAGGCTTTGCTTGCTTTATGCAATCCCCAAGAAGACATTAAAAGGGGAGGAAAAAGTGCAGTGAAGACCTCAGATGGATGGGCAGAATTCTTCATCATCAGTGCTGGAAACCACTTCTCCATTTCCTGCGTATTCAGGCGCTGTGGCAGGCGACCATCGTGTGACCCTGCTACAGGCTCACTCCCAGTGGGGTCTGTCCCCTGAGCTCTGATTCCAGGAAGGAGGGCGGCTTGTGCTGATTCTCCTGCACCCTCTTAATGGGACTCCTAAGAGTGGGTCAGACTGACAGGGTGGCTTCCCAGAGTCACGTTAACTGGCCCAGAAGATCACCCTGAGCTTGACCTCATGACGTGGAGCTGTGCTGGTCATCAGGGAGAGTTCTCGTACCTGTAGGTTTGCAGAGAACATGTGGGGGCATTCCAGCCAAATCTGAACTAGCATCCATGCTCGTGTCACACGTCAGGGGGAGCCTGTTCCCGTTTGGAGGAGGAAGCAACAAGTTGGGGGCGAGTCGCTTCTTTCCTTAGACCAGAGTGCACGTGCAGTGGGAATAGAGGTTTTGGGAGCAGTCCCAGTCCTGCCCCGCTCAGGCTCAAGGGTGGGTGTCCCGGGCAGGTGCTTGACAGGGGCCAGCGGCACCTCAACGCTGTTTCTCCGCCACCAGGATGACACATCGCCTGTGTTCCCCGCAGGTCCAGTTCCTCTCCCCGCAAGCCCGCCGCCGATTCCACGCCGCTCTGGCGTCCTGTTCCACCTCCATGCTGATCCTGTCCAACCTAGTGTTTCTCGGGGGCAGTCAAGTGGGGAAGATCTACTGGAACAGGATCTTCATACAAGGTAAGTTGCCCAGCAGTGCCATTTTCAGTCAACTTCTTCTTTTCCACGTATGCTCTTGGTACCTTGAATGGATTTAGGGGGAGGCGTTCATTGTTCATGGTATATGACCCTTGAAATACTGCCCAGGAACAATTCCCTGCACTGAGCTGTGACTTTCAGGGTCCCCTCCTTTGCTGTACCTCTGATCTATCACATGCAGCACGGAACATTACAACGTACTATCCCACCTCTCCCAAACTCTACCTTTGCCTTCTGCTAAGTTAGTGCTCCGGTTTTTAAAATGTTTCCTAATCTTCCTTCCTCATAATCCCAGCCTTCAGTATACTCCAGAGTCTGTTTCATTTCCACTCTGAACGTCCCACCAGGGAAGGTCCTAGAAGCCCCGCTGTGCTCCCTTGCAGCTGTGGGTGTGGCACCTGGGTTTGCCAGGCTCTTTGTTGTGGGTGTTTTGTCTGAGCGCTGGGATGCCAGAAGTACTACTGGTCGACCTCATGTTTACTGTGCAGTAAATGGCGTGTCCCCATGTCCACCGCAAAGCCACACCCGCAGCAGGTAAAATGCTGGTCTGTGGGAACTACTGTGAAAACGTTGCATTAACAATCAAGCGTCATTTATTTATGGGCGCAGTTCCTCAGGCTGGAACTGAGAGTTCTATCACAGCCTTAAAGGAATCGGGAGAGTGGGAGCTGCTAACAGTGCCCGTTGCCAGTTTCCTGGATGTGAAGAGCAAAGGTCCCCTGCTCTGTTTCCCTGACCAGCGGCGTGGTTTTGTGCCTTTGGTTTGGGAAGTTTGGCCAAGCGGCAATGACGTGACTGCACGGCCAGGCTATCATCTCTACGTCTGGGTCCCTGAGGGGCCGGCGATGCTTTCACTGAAGATTTTTTCGTACCAGAAATAACCCTAGTACAGCTGTGCAATCCCAGAATGCCAGGTCACAAGTCTAAAGCGTGGCAGCTCAGGGGGAGCCAGACTCACAGGGGTCACGAGAGAGCCCTGCTCCGCTTTCCTCTCGTCATTACAAAGCCCTCTTTGATCTTGCTTTCTGAGAAATGTCTTAGCTGATCGTTCCTGAAAAGACAATGTGCTTTTTAAGTGGAAGCTGTCCTTTAATAAAGATGGAAGCTAATGGGGTGCAGAGGATCTAAAGATAAAAAGCACCCCTCGTCGTGGGTGATAGTGTCCTACTTTTCTTGCCTCCAACCACGGTACGTAGCATGATGCCAAGAACACTGGGACTCGGGGAGAAAATGCTGACTTGGGGTTTGCTGGTCACATGAGCACAAAGGCTCTGAGCTTTGCTTCAGGAAGTCAAACATCAGGTGTTTGCTTCTTCCAAGGCCCTGAGAATAGAGGATTAAAAAGAGAAGCACCCACACATGTAGGAGCCAAACGTGCAAACAGAAATGTGCCGCAGACTGAGGTAATGTTATGCTGGATGCGTGAGTGAATTGCTAGAGGTCACAGGACAGAGTGGCTTATCTTCCCATGAAAGTTGGATCTCACAGAAGAGGTGGCATTGGAATTGGAGTTTTGGGCATTCAGTAGGAACTTGACAGGTGGAGAAGGAGCTATATGGGGGTAATGAGCACTAGCTTCTGTGTCAGATCATTCTAAGCTCTCAGTGATCTTTCCCCATAGACGTTTGTTTTTATCACAGTTCAGTGCAGGACCAGTGGTTTTTTCTAGGCAGTGACTCTAGGACCTAGAATGTTTCTATTTTGATTCTCTGCTGTCTTGTGCTGGCCTCATGGAGGGAATGAGAACACAGGGATGGTGCCCAAGTGCTAAATAGCCCTGCCAGCGGTACCACATGGCATTTCTGCTCATGTTCCACTGGCCAGAGTGAGTCATGTGACTGACCCAAGTGCAAGGGAGGGAGATGTGGGGAAGTACACAGACATTGGTAGGTTATGGCTCAGGAGGAGAGGACATGAGGCAGCCTGGAGATGCCCAAGAGGCAGTTAAAAATGTGTTAGACCATGAGAAACAGTACGGAATTTTGTCAAAAAATTAAAATAGACATACCATATGATCCAGAAATTCCACTACTGGAAAGTTACCCAAAGAAAATGAAAACACTAATTGGAAAAGATAGTGCACCCTTATGTTCATTGCAGCATTATTTATAATTGCCAAGATATGGAAGCAACCTAAGTGTCCATCAGTAGATGAGTGGATAAAAAGATGTACATATACATAATGGAATATTACTCGGCCATAAAAAAGTCATCTTGCTATTTGCGACATGGCTGGACCTAGAGGGTATCATGTGAAGTGAAATAAGTCAGACGAAGAAGGGCAATATGATTTCACTTATATGTAGAATCTGAAAAAACAAAATAAACAAAACCAGAAACAGACTTGTAAATGCAGAGAACAAACTGGTGGTTGCCACAGGGTGTGGGGGGATGGGCAAAATAGGTGATGGGGATGAAGAGGTACAAACTTTCAGTTATGAAATAAGTAAGTCACAGAGATGAAAGAAAAGTACAGCATAGGGAATATAGTTAATATCGATTATAATAATGTCATATGGTGACAGATGGTAACTATACTTACTGTGGTGAGCATAGCATAATGTACAGAATTGTTGAATGACTATTCAGTGCATTTGAAACTAATATAACATTGTATGTCAACTGTACTTCAATAATAAAATCTTTTTTTAAATGTAAGTTGCAGTTGGGGAGGGTGAAACTAGGAGCTGTGGGAGTCAAGGGCATAAAGGCAGGTGAGGTGATGGGAGTGGATACAGTTAGCCAGGGAATAGGCACAGAGTGAGAAGAGAACAGGGTGGGAGGTGGCTCCTGGGCATGTGGGCATTTAAAGGGGCAGAGGAAAGATAGTGGTTAAAAGATGTTCTTTCTGTTTCTCAAAGGCATCAAGATCAAAGCATGATTTGCCCTGCACCCTGTGGAGCTAACATCTGGCACACAGGGGTCAGGGCTCTGAGAAAACCAGTCTGCTTCTGCCGAGGTGGGTCCTGCTATGGCCATGACTGGATCTATGTTGTATCCTTGGAGCCAGGTGCCTGAGTCCTGGAGACCAAATTTCTAAATATGGAGGGCTCTATGCAAGCATTTGTCTCTGGGTTCTCAGGACAGGGAAGCTCAGCTGAGAAGGCATTTACTGTGTCAGAGATTCTTTCAATCAGCCTGATCCCATCTTTGCCGATCTGTCCCCTGGGCCTCCTGAGTCAGGGGATGTCTACTGGGAATTTGACAGTTGTCTCACTTGTCTGTTCCCCACTGTGGGTCTTTGTCTCTGAGTGAATTTCAGTATCTCCTGGAGGAAAGTAAACCAGATGGTGCCAAATCCTCCATCCTTAAGGACTCTGGATTTCTCTTCATAACTAATTTGATTGACCTGATAGAAGATCAGTATGAATATTCATGTTTGGGCACCAAAAATACTAATGAGTTTATAGGATGCTTCCCCATACTCTGCTGCGACGTTATATTAGCTTTCTAAAATGAAAAAAAAAAATCTGAATTCTGAAACTCCTCTGGCCCCAACGGTTTCAGATACGGGATTGCTGTCCTATACATGCAGCTGCTGCTGAATGAGCCGGGCCTCTAACACCGTGGTTGTCTCTGGCCACTTCCTTCAGCCACATGGAACCTGCTGTTCCAAGACCCACCTCTGCTCACTGAGGAACATGCAGTGGAGTGAGTGAGAGGATGGGGAGTTCAAGCTCATATTAGATTCCCAGGTTTAATGGGAAGGTGGCCCTTCCCTGGGGGTAACCAGCCTGGTCCCTGTGCACCTTGATCCTTGAGGGGCTGGGACCTGCTGTGATGACAGGTGGTAGCAGGTGTCCCTCTAACAGATCTTGCCTTGGTGAGTCCTGGAAGAGCAGGGAGGGGATAGCCAGGTGTCTGAGGATAGGGATTATAGAAGACGTTGCAGATTCCAGCCCTCCCTCCCATACAGTGCAGGGGCTGAGAGGATACAGCCTCGCTAGTTCTCAGGGAGCCTCTTTACTGCATCACTGATGTCCCTGGAAGCATCTCATGATAGCCTGGAGGAGTTAAGGCCACTGTCTCCCTATCTCGTTCGGCACAGATCTGTTTGCTTTAAGCTACAAAGCTTGTGTTAGTAACGGATGTAAAAACCTCTAGCCTGGTCTCTGTGGGGTTGGGGATACCAGACTGTGAAACCAGACCCTTCCCTTTCTGCTCTGCACACTGCCCTGCTGCCCAGGACAGTGGACCATGCCAGCCAAGGGATGGGAGTGCTAAGCGGCCTTCTGAGGGCTCTGGGATGCATCACACACAAATCATTTTGATCAAGTGTTTTCTCTGCCGCAGAGGTTGGAGAAGTAATGTTCAATTAATTGTGGAAAATAAGAATCTATATCTTTGCCTTTAAAAAAAAGTCCCCAAATTTGTACTATTGAAATTTACTTCCAGCAGCTTGAGGAATTTGAACGTTTGGGCCTCAGACATTTAAGGAGCTTAGCAAGATCCAGGGATCTGAGAAGGATGTGGTCTGGGGATTTGGTCCCTGGGCCTGCTCTCAGAGGGACCCCGCTGTGTGATGCTTTGTGGAGGCAAACTCAGGTTGCTTCTCACATAACTCTTTGGCTTTCAAAAGCATTTTGTTGTTGTTGTTGTTGTTGTTTTAAAGATTTTATTTAGTCATTTGACAGAGAGAGACACAGCGAGAGAGGGAACACAAGCGGGGCGGGGTGGGCGGTTGGGAGAGAGGGAGAAGTAGGCTTCCCACTGAGCAGGGAGCCCGATGTGGGGGCTCCATCCCAGGACCCTAGGATCATGACCTGAGCCGAAGGCAGACGCTTAACGACTGAGCCACCCAGGCGCCACTCAAAAGCATTTGTTGATGGCAAGAGCTCTCTCATGTCTGCCTTATCCTTGATGTTGAAGTGTAAGTTCATTTCCTGAACAAGCAGATGATGACTGCTCTGTAACTCAGAATATGAGTGAGTTATAACTCTCAAGTCTGCAAGACCAAGCTCCATAAACCAGTTGTGTCTCAA